AAATACAAGAATTAGTATTATTCAACTCTAGGGTTCTACTTTTCACAGACCAGTAGATTTTAGTGCAAAGCAAAGTGTACAGGGAAGAATTCCCTACTATTCTGATCTCACTAGCACTAACTTCCATCCTCAAACAACTCATCCACATTATACACTTACAGGTTCTGTCAAAGAGGCACATCATCCCTCAACACCCAAGATCTGATTGTTAATTCTCCCTCTAGCTGCTACACATTTCCTTGATAGGAATTTGGTATTGGATAAAGATAACAACCTCTACCTGATGAGTTTTGAGTATTCTCATTACCTGTTTGCTGGATGAAGTATGGATGTTTTAGGGAGAAGTTACATGTTAATCCCTTCCAAATTATAAAATATTGATCATTATACAATTGAAGTAAAGCAAATACAACTGTTACAGTTAATACACTTACACACTAGGAACCCAAAGTCTGACAGTTTTGTCCCTGGACGCTGATGCAATCAGGTGCCCTGATGGAGAAAACCTCACTGACAGTACCGCATCCTGACAAGAGAATCAAGAGAAATTTAAAGTTAAAGTCTCTTGCAATATCAAAAATACCAAAGCCATGCAAGATTAATAAATTCTTGAACCTCTTCTGCATAATTTTCTGTCAAATTATTCAAAATACTGATTATCTAGAAAAGAAATTAATCTTCTGACTTTTTAAATAACCATAAAAAATCGTCCACCACAGTTCATCTACATGACCACTAGCCAACAGTACCATCATTAGATTGAAGGTTACTCAAATTAGTTTCTGCTAATGAAAATGAGGATCCATTCACCCCATTAGCAAACTATTCCATGATCAGGGTTTTGCAGTTTTAGTAGCCAAAAGGAAAGCATTTCTTGAAATAACAGCATACAACCTCCTCAACCCAATTCTCTGGGTCTGAAATCTCTACCCTATCTATGTAAATAAGGTAAATTGGTTGAAATACAGCATAGTTATTCTCTGGTAAAATATGTTGTAGTTGCCCTGTAGCCAGGTATGGCAGACTGTAAGGATATTATTTTACTGATGAGCTGCTAGGAATAAAAGGGTTAACATAGGATAAGAGACAAAGAAACAAATTAAAGGAATGATTCACAAAATATATCATCATACCTTGTGTCCAACAAATCTGTATGCTCGCATATGAGGCTTGAAATGCCAGATCATTAGACTTGAATCCATAGACCCAGTAACTGTCCAGGAAAGTAAAGTACTTCGTAAGAAGAATTATTGAATTAATCATAATTAGCTAGCAAATCCCACTTAAAGGATCGTATCTAAACAGATCTTGGTAAATATGTTTGACTTAAAGACTGATTTACTCCTCATGAAACCCTCAAAAGTCAGAACAACTCAGAAATAATTTGGCATTTCTGAGCACCATCAAGTTACTGTTTTCATGTTCCCATAAGCAATAACAAACTCACAAGACATGTTCATGTTTCCTGTTTAAAATTGTTGTGAAAGTCTCCGTATCTTTTACTCTCTAAGTAGTAAGGTTGGTTCAGTTGAATGACTATCTCCCCTCCCCCTCCCCATCCCCTCCCCATCAGTCCCTTGCTATCATTATCTCTAACCACCTGTTGAAGTATGGTTTGGAGATGATGTGTCCCTGCACCTCAGCAAACCTTGAGTTGCACAATCCTTTTTAAAGCAAACAAGTAGTTCTTTTTTTTACCTACATTTAGACAAATGCAAGATTGTTGAGGCTGCAGTTGAATGAGCACATTAAGTGATCAGGTACTGTACTTTCACGTTCAGCCTCAGAACAACTTCAGAATATTAATTTTTTCTACTTTACCAAACGCCTTTTTTGTTTACTGTTCTTTGCGCTTTTGCAGTGAGCAAGTAACACTAAGCTAACTCTTTGTGATTGTAAGTCTCCAAGATCTTGCCTCAGATCTAAGAGAATAATACAATATCTACAAGCTCCTACAGTGAGCGAGTAACTGGTAACTGTAGATGTTGTTAAGATCTTTGAATTCCAAAGTTTTGGCTCAGATATGCGTCGTAAGGTGGCAGTCGTTGACTTACCAAGCTGTTTCATGTTTGGATTAAAATCAACGCTTGTCACCGTGTCTCTGTGGCCCTTAAAGTGCCTTTCGAGCGTTGGATCTTCCTACGAAGTAATCGTAACACAATTGAGAAGAATAGGGTGATATTTCTCTTGCAATCAAAGTCTTGCAACCATGATAATTACAACACTTTTGCATCCTTCCGAATTGTCCACAATTTCTCTCGCTAATCCCGCATGTAACTTACCAAACTCGATGCCATCGCCACAGTGACGATTTTCCAAACACCTGCTCAACACTACTTGATCCAAGAAGCTCCAAACCCTATATCAGTGCAGCTTTCGTCTTCCACAAATTTCAAAAATGGCGGCTGTCGTTCTTATTCTTATGACGCAAGACCGCTGACTCTATATTAAAATTTCTCAGGCTCCACCTTGGGTTTCAATGTCACTAAATTTCGCACATGGGCTGTGTGAGGGCGACACTATCTACCTTGTGGTTATCAGCGCTTGTTTGACCGCACAGGGCCGCTTAGACACCTTTTCCAAGTCTACTTGTCTTGTATAGTTGTAATGCATCCATAGAGAGCAAAGGATGCTCTAAGGTTTCTGCAACTCATAACGACCATAACTAAAAGATTAATTCAAGATTGCCCCCCCCCCCCGCTCCAAAATGATTTGTCTACATGCGCCTTACTCAAAGTCCCGTGCATCGCGCTAAAGTCAATGTTTTTTCACTTATTTACTTTTCACACACGCAAAGGATTTTTCCCAGAAGCAGGGACTACTTGTGGTCTACCATTATTCTGCAAATCTCTCCCTTAACAAAACCTGGTTTTAAGCTAAACAAATAGCTTACATAATTATGTAAGACTTACCAAACTCTTAGAATAATCCTTTAACAGACCAGCTTTGGGGAAAAAGTTCATACCAGTGATGTCAAAAAAGGTAATTTCACTTTATTCATTAGTATAAAAAACATAAAAATTTCTCGACTAAAAACTCCTTTCCTCATTATACTTAATTAACCTAGTGATATTACTTGTACAGCCGAGGGTTGCACCGGCACACTTCTGTCCGGCTAGGGAATTATATATGCGGTTTCTCTGTCTCACTGTCTATTTTATTTCTTAAATGTCAAGTATGAAAAGACTGAAGTCAATGTTGAAAAATTTATTTATTTCGTCAAATTCAATTACACAGATAATCAAAACAAAAACAAAAACAAGGAGTTAATATATACAAGTACAAAAAAAGAGATATCTGAGTAATTAGGCCAGTTTGTACAAAATACTAGATTCCTTATTTTAAATAAACTGCCTGTTATAAAATACAAAAAAATGAAAAACTAACATAGACAAATAGCAACGACAATAAGTAATCAAAAACTATAAAAATTTATCCTTACTTAAGTTAAATTTACTGATATAAAACTGATTCACTTTCTTACTAAACAAAGATACTCAATCAATTGTCCTAATAGCAACAGGCAGGCCATTACATAAATTCTCGATGCGATTAAAAAATGAGAATTTAAAAACATCGGTCGAAAAACAACCCTTGGCAAGTATGGCTTCTGTATTCCTCATATCGTACTTATATGATTTGAAGCAGACATGATAAAAAAACATCTGAAAAAAAAACATTAAATTTAAGAACTTCTTAGTGCACTTTTCCATGAAATGTTGTAAAAACAACAAAGCAGGCTCTCATTCTGGCCAATCAAAACAAAGGATGATATCACAAGGACCTTGTGAGAGGGTCTTAAAATTGTGTAAGATCAACTTTGATGTTGGAAAATGCTTCTGATTAAACCAAAGAGACCAGTCTTGATAAACAATCCCCAAAATTTATTGTGTGATCATGTAATTGGTTGGGAAAGTGGCCCTATTGACTCTCCATTCAAAATTGCTCTAAGCTCTTTGCTGGAGAATTTAATATTAATTAACATATCTACAAGTCTTACTTGCATTATTTATTTTATTACTTGCTTTGTACTTTGTACATTTTTACTTGTTTACTTAATAAACAATTTGCCTTAGGCTACATAAATTATTAGAGAAGGTATTCTTGGCAATCTTACGGAAGAAAGTAAGATCATTCCATGATGTCAATATGGCAAAGGCTATTCCCATCTAAATATTCCTTTTTCTTTTTTTTTTTATTATAGCCCCTTTCGTGAAAGTGGGTTAGTGGTTAAATAAATAAATAAATGAAGGACAGACAAATAGGCAAACAGACAGATGGACAAAGAGAAAGAAGACATGCAAAAATAAACTAAAAAGAAACAAAAGGAGCAATGACTTCTGGAAATAGCTAATTTAAAAATACCTTTAAGGCTTGATGCAAGTGAAGAAAGCCCAGTTGCATTTGTATATTTGCTAGCTAGTTGATTTCCTCACCCAAATGGTTGTGATTTGTGATTTTATATAAAAGTAGAATTATTTAACTATTGATCACATGTAGAAGTCTTCACATAATTTCCTTAAGTGTAATGTCAAAATACTGCTTAATATTAAAATATTGCTTAGAATATTGCATCATAATAATAGTAATAATAATAATAGTTCATCTTCATTGAGGATGCCAACATCACAAAAAGGTGGTTTACAGAGGGGTCCTCTAAAAGTAACTACATAAAATATAATTACTTAAAAATAGAAATAAAAAAATACATATCGAAAAATATGAAGATAAAACTACATTTAATTTATTTGAAAATTAACATGCGAAAAACGAAACTAATTAAAATAGTGCTTCAATCAATCAATCCTTTATTTAAACACGTGACACCTAGGAGTACAGAAGTTCTCGTTAAAACGTGTACGTGTATGTACAATTAGAAATAAAACATAATTTCTGTAAGAATACAAATAATAAGTAGATCTATTAAATAACTAAAAACAGGATCGAAGATCATGGACAAGAGCTATCAATAAAAAGTTACAATATTAACAATAACGATATTTACAATCACTACCACTAAGCCATGTGGGCTTGAAGAGAACGCTTGAATGAAACAATATCTTGAGATTCTCTGATTCTAGGGGGTAGCGCATTCCTAACAATTGGAATTGCCTACGATTCTCCAATGACTTAATGTCGGCCAACTTGAGAAGGAAGTCGTATGACACAGACTTCGAGAAGCCTAATATAGTTCTTAATATAAAGTAATTAGTTGTCTCTATTTTAGTAGTCTCCGCGTTACCTACTCCCAGTAAAAGGGGACTGCAGTACTCAAGATGAGGGAGAACATAGGCCTTTCTTGATACCACGCTTAAATTGGCTTAAGGTGGGCACATCTCTCATCGAATAAAATCCTTCACTCTTGTTGGTTAACTAACTAAACTGTTCAAATATCTTGCTATCCTTTCTTGGCGAGATAATCCAGTAATTATGAACCTCAATGCTACTAAAAGCAGCATGGGAACCACAATAAATGCCGCAGAGACCCCGTTGTCTATAAAAAGATGAAAAAGAGAGAGTTAAAATCTTTTGTGTTCTTTTCTTTTCTTAATGTACAGCTATCAATAATAAATGACAAAGAGGGGTTCTATTTATTAAAATTCCACCATCCTTTACTGAAAGAAGTAAAGACACATGATATGCAGGTCTGCACTTGTTTCAGTGGGGATTAATATAGGTTAAGTAAGGTAGTGCTTTCACCAATATGACGAGTGGGTTGAGGAGGGGAGTGGTCTTCAAAAGTTAAAATCCCTAGGGGGGGTTTCAGGGGGGAGGGATGTTAAAGCTTCAATTTGATCATTAACCTATTACACTTAAACCAACAATTCTCCCACTGACTTTAAATTACAGCAAAGCGAACTATGCTAATGCACACAAAAATTAAATGAGGGCTGCAAAAAATACAGTCAACCAGCTGGCTTAATTGATTCTTACAGGTTTTAACAACAACAAAAATTCCAAATGCTCTGAAGGCCTGAACATGCCTTCAGATTTTTTCCTTCCCCTCCCTCTCTCCCGTTGCTCATTTTTCCATTTAACACCTACTCCCTTGGCAAATATTTCCTCGCCCCAATCCTCCACTGTTACCAAAGCAAAGATGGCAGCCTAATACGAAAATGTGCACTCGTGGGCCCAAAATATGCTGGCACTGCAGGCTAAATAAAATCTTAATAAGTTAATTCAATTTTACTAAAACTAACAACCATCAATTTACCTCTGATTGGTGGGTTGTCAGATATGCCTTGAACATCTGGCGACAGAGTGTCGACTACAGATAGAAATTAAAACATTCATGGAAAAAATGTAATAATCATGAGTTCCAAATCAAGTTTACAGCTGTTCACCAGTCTTAAGACTGGACTTCAAAGATTAAGTCCCTTAAAATCTCTCAATTGTACTAAACATCAAATTGTTCAACTCTTAGATCTACATTTTAATTTTCTTCTAATTGAAGACAAACATTTCCTAGTCGGTACAGTCGAACCTCGATTATCCAGACTCGTCGGGACTTTGGTAAACAGTCCAGATAATCGCGAGTCCGTATATTTGAAAATATGAATGTTAATGAAACAACAATGTAAAAAAAAAGAAATAAAAAAAACACACTTTAAATCCGAAAAGTCTGCTTCAATGACTCTCCAAGCGCTCGATCTTTTGAAAGCGGAGGAGGTATTGCACTGTTTTAAACGCACTTTTCCTGACCTTAAAACAAAATCTCTGAATTTTTTTACCTCATAACATTTGAAGATCGAAGCTCATAAATAATCATGAAAAAACGGGACCAAGGAAAAAGTCTGGATAATCGAGGTCCGGATAATCAAGGTTTAATTGCACACATAATTATAAGCCCTAAGAATTCAATGTTCATTGAGATTAAAAAAAGTTCAAGTTCATACTCAAGTGACCCATCTAATCTAAGCTGGCCCCTGTTTCCTTAGCATAAAGCGACTAGGAGTATCACAGGATAACTACTCAAGCATTTCATTAATGTTTTCAGCAGGAGGGCAACTGGTTTTCACAGGCAGGCAAAACTTTTTGAACTAAACTTCTTTATAAGAAAAACCTTCCTCCAGATTGTTAAACCAGGTGGGCAAAACCGTCCTTACAATCAGTCAATTCGGCCGGTGCCCGGCCCTTAATGAAATCCCTGACTACTCCCCCCCCAGGATGAGTTCATTGCAAGGTTACCCCCACAGTGTTTCATCAGGTTTCCCTAACAATTTGTTACCACCTATTTAAAGTTCTGGGTGGGGAGAGTACGTACTGTGAGAGCTAAGAGTTTTTTCCCCAAAATAGAACACAATGACCTGACCAGGCCTTGAACCCAAACCTCAGCACACTAACCATTTTAGGCGTGGGAAATTTGCTCTCACTTGTTTGTAATTTTTTGTCAGTGGGTTTTGACAGATGAGGCTAATTTGATCTGCTTCATTGCTGCAGCTTTCTTTAATAATATTAATCATAAGAAATTCTGCTTTTTCTTTCCTTTGCCATCACTTAAAATAACTGAATGCCTCTCTCCCACAAATAATTTTTCACTCCCACCATTGATTTTCAAGAAATTTTCACTCATTCTTCACCACCATGACTCCTACTTAACTACACCAATGCAAGGTGACTTCACTCTCACCCTCCTTCTTGTGCCGCAATTTTGGCACCAGGTCATGTACTGAACCACAAGAACTCCAATGCAGCCATTTCAATTCTCCCTAATAATCACAGAGTGAGACTAACAAGGATTACACAAACAATACACAATTTAACCCTACCTGTAGTTGGTGGCTCCACAGTGTTTTGATCATTTGCAGATGCAATATATACTGTAGACGGAACAACTATAAAACAAAAAAGATAAGATTCCCAAATAAAATTATTGATGATGTGGAAAAGATTGTATATTCTACAATTTCTGGTCATACAGTGACAATCAAGTCAGTTAAATAAAAAAGTTCTCATTTTGCTACTGATAATTCTCACTGCAATAACTTACAATTAAAACCAAAATAAATTCACAGTTCTCTGAAGACCACAACAGGACTTTTATATTTCAAGGGTACTTACAAAATGTGGACCTGTTACTTATAACCTAATTATGACTATTAATTCTACAATAAACTCTACCTGTGTTTGAGGGTCCAACAGTCTTGTGAAATCCTGGAGATATCTTAGGGCTTATAAATGTTGGTGTACCTGTCAAACAAGAAAAAAAGGAGTTTTTCAGAATATAATCACACATACAGATCAAACAATACAATAACCCTTGGGAGTTTTGGTCAAATATTGAAAAAACATAGCTCCAAACCACAGAAATTAGGACTGTATACCTTATAGGAAAGATCACTAACAATCCTGTTAATTGACAGAACTATCATTTTCCTTCTGAGATCTGAATGTTAATTAAATAAATCTTTCTTAATTTTTATTTGCTGACAGACATTTCCAAAACAGCCTACATGTCTGTCATGAGAATTTTGAGTTACATATATATGTCATTACCCTCTGTTCAAGTTTTTTCAAATGGTGGAGAGAGCCCATAATGATGGCTCCTCATAGTAAGGAGCTAACGAGAATGATTTTGCAATGAAAAAATTTTTAGCACAACCTGAAATTGGTGGCGTGACAGTTTTATGGGCACTTGCTGATACAGTACTCAATACTACCAAAGAGGGCACAACTGCTGAAATAAGAATCAAACAAACAAATAATCAAGAAACTGAATTTGCATGGAAAAATTATTAAGATTTTGTTCATTCATTTATGATATGATCCAAAGTGACCAATTTTGGGCAGCAGTATTTGCTTCCTGACACTCAACCTTTTTTCATGTTCCAATCAATGTGACAATTATGACTTTGCAATTGGTTATCAAGATTTTCAAAAGAAAAAGCAGAGGTGAAAACTTAAAGAAGAAAAAATCAATCACAAACTTCTCTAGAAGCAGATTACTGATAAGAAAGCTAGCATCAGGATGGAACAGGTTTTTCTCTTTAGCTCTCCTCTTTAACTTAGATATGTATTAACTGACAATAAAAAGGAAGCTGATGAAAACAAAAGGTTCAGCCACATACAGAGGACTAAACTGCTATTCTGTTATATTCTTGTTAATCAACCATTCTGCCCTTGACAACGTGTTTAAAAACAATGACATTTCACTTAAAAGAGATACCAAAAAGGCTAGCTAATGCAGGCATTCAAAGAAATAATAATGATAACAGTCATTTCAAAGAAGTCTAAGGTATTTCATATGCAACTGCAGTACATGTACATGCTGAACCAATTTTTAATTAAATTAAACATTTACAGTGGTGCAAAACTTGCAAATACCTCCCACAGTAGTTGAATATTTTTTCTGAATGGTTTCCTGTATTGACATATTAGTACTTGCGAATGGCAACACTGCAAAACATTGCAAGTTCAAAATTTTAAAACAAAGATAATAGGACTGAGTGGAGTCACCTAAATCAGACCACTGCAAAGCAGGTGTCTGATTTATTTTAACAAGAGTATAATTACACACAGAATTGGACAACACAAGTTGTGTTACCAATTAATCAAAACTATGACAAAATTCGAGAAAGAAACTACACATTGATTATACCTATCCTGGATACAGAATGAGTCTCTGGGTCTTCTGTTAGGTTCACCAAACCCCCCGGATTAAGTGTTGAACTAGCATTCAGTGGCTTCACTCCATTGTAGGCTAACATCATATCCCCAGATTTACTTAAATCAAATGATTTCGGCTTTACAAACTTGCCTCACTGTTTCCCATAGCATTTTTTTTGTTGCAACTCATATCTTTCTTTGTTTAATTTTTGGGAAGGGAGATCCATTTGATTGTCTGGGGGGGAAGCACTGCAGAGTTGATGCTATGGTGGCATAATAAAAAATCTCCAGATTTTAGATCTCCACAGGTTAATTTTTGGCATTGCTCTATGTATTGTATTTTGTAATAGTAACTAAAATTCATCATGAATTATTTTTTCACTACATTCTCAGTTACTAACCTGTAAGGATTATTATGTCTTGATAAGGACAGGTGAAGTCATATGTTTGAAACTGATAGTTTAAATTGAACGTCCAACCACTGCTGCCCCTTGGAAGGTTTCTTATTTCAACCGACAGATGTGTCTGGTTACTCTTGAATTTCATTCTTTTGGGGCAGAACTCCTTCCAAATGATATCTTTTATAAACGTACTCTTAATGCAAGTCATTTCCAAGGATTTTTTTGGCATGAATGCAATATAAACTGAATTTATTTCCAGGCGAAGAACACGCAACTCTTGACCTAGAGAAGCTTTAGAAAATGACCACTGCAGTTTGACTACTCTGCCTTCGGTGGTGTTGACATGTGCAACTGAAACTAAAGAAGATTATTTATTTTTAAATGATTATAATGTGCTTGAATTAATTCCTTTTTTTTTTTTAAATCCTCAATCGTGAGGCTACTATACATGAGGCCTTAGGCTATCAGATAAAAAAAAAGAAAAAAGCCTCCCTGCTTTTGCCAACCCATGGCATAACCAGGGAATTTCCTCAAGGACAACATGAAACATTAGCCTGGAGCTTTAGCTGAGATGGGTAAGTAAGTATCACAGCCAAACCTATATTGTATATTAATACCCTGTATTAAGTACTTAGTTGTCAAAGTCCCAAATTCATTTCCCCTTAATAAATTTAATTTTCACCTCTAAATGAGCAGTCACTGCATGCGCTCAACTGGTCATGGTCACTCTTTCCTAAGTCCCAACAGCCTGTTTGCATTGTTTTCCATATGTATTGAATGGTCACTTAAAGTGCACCTATACCCTAAAATTTTTTTTCGCTTAACGAAATAAGCTTATTTTTTGGAGTATTTCTCGGCAAAAACTTCTTAATTTGCTCAAATCTTTAATTTTCTGTGCCCAGTCAAAATACGGAAAATCAGCCGCCATCTTGCCCCACGACCGAGTTTAAAGAGGAATGGCTCTAGCGGGTAATGTGACGTCAAATCGAGAACACGAAAGTCTGCATTTCACACATTTTCACTTGTTTGGGAAGGTTGTCGTCGATATTGTCTGAAATATGCCGACTAGGTGTGTTGTATGAGGAATATACGAAGCGCGATACCCTCTTGCAAATTTCGCGCGTTGCTACATCCTTCTACAACACACTTAGTCGGCATATTTTCGGACAACATCGACTACAACCTTCCCAAACATGTGAAAATGTGTGAAATGCAGACTTTCGTGTTCTCGATTTGACGTCACATTACCCGCTAGAGCCATTCCTCTTTAAACTCGGTCGTGGGGCAAGATGGCGGCCGATTTTCCGTGTTTTGACTGGGCACAGAAAATTAAAGATTTGAGCAAATTAAGAAATTTTTGCAGAGAAATACTCCAAAAAATAAGCTTATTTCGTTAAGCGAAAAAAAATTTTTGGGTATAGGTGCACTTTAAGGGTGAACCTCTCAGATAAACCTAAGAATTATCTTTAAAATAATTTTTAATCCCTGTTTCTCTCCCAAAATCAATGTAAAGAGTATTTTTGAGCAAGATTCTGTACATATAAGTGGTCAATTATGGCATAAATTGGCATTGTGTATCGTTTTTATAATACCCCTGATCTATCGAACCTGTTTTAAGCTGTCAACCTGTATTAATATTAAGTGGTCACCCTGCCAAGATTGATTAATACAGGTTCAATGGTGGTAATATTAATAATAATTTTAATAATAATTTATTTCTTATATAGCACTATTTACAATGACAGATCAATAGCGCTTTACAATTGATATCTCTAAATATTAAAATCTCAACTAATTAAAAAATAATTACATATTACAGTTAAATTGGCTATATAAAATTTATAACTTAACCACTATTGAAAGGATTGCTTAAATAGAAAAGTCTTAATTGAATTCTTAAAAATTTCTACAGATTGAATATTGCATAATTGCAATGGTAGCTCATTCCATAGATGTGGTGCAGCTGCCTGAAATGCAAGTTTACCCAGGGTTGCCAGCATTTTACCTCTAGGTGGCTCTAATAAAATACCTGAGTAAGATTTAAGATTGTACAAGGACTTGTGTTTGATAACTAAAAGATTGCTAATATATGCGGGTGTGAGGCCATGGATGTCTTTAAAAGTTAATAATAGGACATTATTACACGACTCGGGCAGTCAGAGGGCCAATAACTAAAATCAACCAATCAAAATGCTCTATTTGCGGTCAATATTCTCTCAGTATTGGACCGGGCACTGTCCCAAAATTAATGGTCCCGAATGATACCGCACTTCTGTCCCTTTGAACTTCAGTCGTTTAATAAATCTCTTATTAACCAAGCTTGCTCGGGACCGTACTGGAAGAATATCGGCCCTCTGTCTTTTTTGTATGGACCGAGCTGCGCTCGGTCCATACTGTCAAGACCTCGGGCTGATATTCTCCCAGTACGGCCCTTGGGCTTGGTTAATAAGATATATTTATAATATAATAATATTATAATGTTCTCTCATTGTACCTGACTTTAGGGAGGAGGAATGTTGAACCCCAAGCCTAAAATACATTGTTTCCTGGTCCATTAACTCAACAGTGGAGTGAAAAATAATAGCTAACACTAATAACTTGTAACCCACAAACCATAAAAAAAAAAAAATTAGAAAACGGTCAGACAAGCAAATAATTTGTTAATGGCAAGCAGATCAATCATTTGCTTTTGATCAATCCTCGTCTACTTAATTATCAGTCATCACAATTCCTTCCAATAGGCCCCACAGTTCCTAAATATGCATGTAAATACCGCTCAAAAACATAGGAGTAACACTAATGGGCTCAGAGGAAACATTGGAACATGTCAAAACTCGACAACTCCCATTTTACCTACTTGTTAAAAACGTTAATTCGTCACACTGTTTATGTTGTAAGTCTCAACATATTTCAATCATTTTCACCTATTTCATCGTTTCCCTCAGAGATACAAGTTCTCCTCTTTAATCCGAGTTTAAAAGTTTCAAAATGCTTTGCAATCACACCTGACTAAATTATATTCAGTACTCACCGCATCTAGTTGAGTTACGTCGATCTCCCACAAGAATAGTAGCGCTTTGATTTGCGTCAATCTGGATTGCTGCCGCTGAAAAGAGCAAAAGGTGCAGCCTTGCTGGTAATGATCAGACGTGATACTGTTAATAAGAGCTTCTAAGAGTTTCGCTCACGTTTCGAGGGTTGGCGCTCAGCTTTGTCAGTAAGGGCGAACGGTGGAATTAGAAACAGTTTGTGTGGGATAAGATTTTGAATCACGGTCCCCGTTTTGATCGTGTCATGATACTGAGCAAATCATACAGCATAGAATTGATTGTGCACTCGAACAGTGATTAGATAAATCGTCATGACCAAGGAAACAATGTGCTGACTCAACAGGTACATGTAAAAAATGTAGAAACTCATGACTAAAATAGGCAGAATTAGTCAAATGGCAAGTTTGATTTATAAGCCGTCCGGTGAGAAGATGACTTCCGAACTAGCTAAAACTACCCTTAAGGTATTGACAATGCCAAATCAATTTCAGACTTAGTCCGTGAAGAATTCCATTTTTCTCACGTACACATACGTTCACAATCATCACGATAGTTCACAACTACGCTCAATTGCAACGTCCCACGGCCGGGGTTGTTGCACTACGATTTTGGGCCTGTTAAATAGCTAAAACAAAATTTTGCTTACTTTGTAGCTCCACCAGAAAACAAACTACGAAAAGAAGAATCATTATGCATCTGATGCCTTCGTAACAATTTTCCTACGGACTTTTAAATGAACGAGCCAAACTGCGCTCTTCGGCACACCGCTCAGCTGCGACCAATGATTGGGCGATTTGGGCAATCAATAAATGTCAGTGACCGCTGGACGTGTTCGCTGTGATGAAAAAGGGAGGGATCCTGGGAACGAGGTTTAATCTCCTTGTTGAACACAGGAGCGACATAAACTAAGAATTCTTTACTAATTTAATTGAAAATTTTTACTCGTTCTTGCTGGTTCATCAAGTACTAAGGAATGAAAAACTATTACGTCTAATAATATTTAGATCACGCCCGAACATCTTCAGAAAACAATTTCTCTTGCTATGTAGAGATGGTCTCTGCAAAAAAGATGATTCATTTCACATAATTAATGCAAACATGGGGGGAGGGGACGGTACAAAACGTAGACCCCTCTGGACCCCCCTTTAGACCCCCCTCTGGACCCCTTCTGGACCCTCTTCTGGGGTCCCCCTTAGGACCCCCTTCGAGACTCCTCAAGGATAGGATGGGATAGGATAGGATAGGATAGGATAACTTAATTAATTTATACACGGTTTTTCCATCAGTTGATTTAGTTAATTATCCATACTAGTAAACCTATCTATCTAACTACAATAATATTTAATAATAACAATTCAAATAAAAGAAATAATAAAGTTCTGCTTTTCATGGAGGCCGTGTCTAAAATTTACTTAAAATTAATATCGCGAGCGGCCGATCGGAGGAAACACCGGGGGTTTTGTAGCCTTGTGCCGAGGTCCCTACTCTAACTTACACACAAAATAGTACCCACCATAGCACACGGGAGAATTAACATTTCTGGTCGCACTTTTTGAAGGTTCAGGCAAATGTTTGTGGCATGCCACGTTAATGACTACCTCGTAAGTTTCACCAGGTATTTACCGTTTTCATTCTTTCTTAATCTAGCTAGGGGGTCCAGAAGGGGTCCAAAAGGGGGTCCAGAAGGGGATCCAGAAGGGGGGTCCACGTCTTGTACCGTCCGGGGAGGCTGAGAAAAGGGAAATCATTCACTTATCGTAGCCCTTGGAATTCAGAGTTTGTGCCGTGATAGGAGTAAAATGAATCGATTTAGTAGTTTTTTCACAGGTGAAAGTTGAGAGCCATCTTGGGGGATTGCTGGAATATTTGCTGAAATATTTGCTCTGACCAGTCGAGTACCCCAGTGGAAAGAGACGTTAGAACACACCAGCGAGGGGGATAGCACACTTGTAATATATTTTATCCAACTTACCCGATCAGTCTTCTCAAACTTTTCTCCGATAATACTCACCAGACAAATTTTTTCCGTAAAATAAGCTCTGGCCATTTCTTTTTTTTTTCCTTGCTTTTCCATTGTTCCTTGCGTAGAAAATGGCTTTTAATAAGGTTTCCGTTTGCCGCAAAGTAGTGCTCGCAATTTCCCAGTAAACATGTGTGACTGTTTTCACGATGGGTATGTCATGTATGGGGACTTATTATGTCCCAATACATAGAATGTCCCAAACCTTACCTGCCCATGATGTCATAACATTCAGAGACAGTATACAGGGCTATGTACAACTATACAGGGCTATACACAGCTATACAGGGCTATACATGGCTATATAAGGCTATACACAGCTCTACAAGACTATACACAGCAATACACGGCTATACACAGCTTTACAGGGCTATAAATATGCGTTATTAACCGAGCGCGAGGTCAAGATGGCTGGTTATTGGCCGAGTTCTTTTTTCGCATTTTAATGGACCGAGACGAAGTCGAGGTCCATAAAAATGCGCAGATAGAACGAGGCTAATATCCAGCCATCCTGGCCGATTAAGCTTGCTTGATAAAGGATTTATTATAATGCAAAAAAATTTGTCTTTATTAAGAATTAAGAGGCTGTCCGCGTAAGAACCGACCACTCGAATTTCGGCCGATCACAGAATTCCCTCAAATTTTTACTGTGAGATATTTGATCTATTCTATCAGCAAAAATTGTAATTATTTGGTTCGTAATGCTATTTTATCAAATTTTTGGCAACGAGATGTGAGGACGGTCAAAAACAAAGAAAATTGTTTATTTCAGCGTTAATTTTCAGCGTTTCGCTGGAGGCTCTAAAAACTTACGCATTTGTTCAAATACTATAAATCGGACATGTGGTATTATTTTACATCTCTTCTGTCGATTAATAGCAAAATATGTAAATTATGACCAATCAGTTAAGAATTACGCTATTTTGAAAATACCACACAAACAGCACTTTTCAAATTTGAGCGAGTGTGCTGTTGTTCCAAGACGCTTTTCTCAAAAGTGTAACGGAATCTGGAGTCCTAACTACTATCTGTGTTTAGTATTGGGGCTGGTGTACCGAAAACAACAAAAACATTTTTGGCAACTAGTCTTTTCGAGCTACAGGAGCTCGATGAACTTTACTAATTTTCAACGATCAAAGTGCATACGACTTAATTTATGAACACTTGTGGTTACTCCATTTCTCGCTCAAAGTCAATATTTGAGGCAGTGCTTATTTTCAAAACTAGCATGGTTGTTTTGTTAAGGTGAGGATGTCCATAAATTCATCCAAACTTGCCCCAAATTTAGCAATTACGAAGGTACAAATGAACATCTTCTGTGTGACATTACCTTTTAACTGTCTGATGCGGGCTAAAACATGTTGACAAAATTCTATTGAGTCAGTCTTGACCGCTGTCTTATGCTGTAAAAAACTAAAATTACTGTCACTTACGGACTAAGAAACGCTCATTCAAAATATGTCATAATGAAGAGAACTTCGTGTCTTACCAGAGCTTGAGAACATCTCCACGAGAACGGGTTGATTCAGTCATGTGTCATTTAACTACATCGCACAGAAATGGTCTGTGTTAATATTGATACTCTTCCTGTTTTCACTCTATTTTATACCAGCATTTACCTCGTTATGAACCAAAAGGTAATTTTTTTGAAGACATAATTATGATGATGACGATTTCAGGCGGCAATCTCGTTGAAATGGTCATGTTTTTACGTGATACCGTAAAATAATAAAAAGTAAAGTAAATAAATTAAAATACAAAATCACTGGCCACTAAAAGATCAATGAATTTAGTGTTCCCTATTAGTTTCGATAATTACCGCCGGTGATTCACCTTCTATTTGTCTCTTAAAATTTAAATGGCCTTTTCATACTTGGTTATAGTAGATTATAAGTAAACGAATTTGTGGAGATTTATTTGCATCGCGTGACTCATGTAGGATTTCAAAACATTAATGTTTGTGTCGGCGGAAGAATTTGCAGCTCAGTACGCTTCTATGTTTTCGCCATTTTCCTCTAATTTTCATATTTTCTTAGTTTTATCAACTCGTCTCTCCGCTACCAAATAAGTAAAGCTCTATTCCTCGATATGTTCTGAAAAAAGAACTTGAAACCCTCTGCGCGCCGAACCAGTCCTTACCAAAACGGGCCTACGATGTACTACATTCTTAATAAAAGGTTTAGACCTTTTCCAATCAGTTACAGTCACATCCCTCAAAGAATGTGGAAAGTTTAGTTAGCAGATGTTTTTTTTTTATATCGGCAACCATACAGAATCTGAAAAATTTAAGCATCTCCTTGGGCATGACTACAACTCTGAAAACGTCCTGTTAAAGGTACAACTGGCAGCGTTTGATCAACAAACGAAACCAAAAAAACACTTGAAGTACAAAAGATAGACGGATTTAATAAATATCGCAACTTCAAGTTTGAGAGAGAAGGATTACGAAAATGGAGAGCTTATGGCATCGGGCAGGAAAGGTGGATTCCTTACCAAGACTTAGTCGTCAGGCCTCAAGGTCCGACAGGCCTCGTTTTAAATGAAAAATTACTTCCGCTCAACAGGGCACGGCTCCATAAGACGACAAAAAGTAGTGATATAGTTCCCGCATGAAAGTTCCCGCATTGAAACGAAGGACTGGCTAACGAAGACTCAAGTGCAGGAGTTTTTCTCGAGACTGCCGGCCGCAAGAAGGAGACAGGGAAGCCGAGAAATTGAGGTCAGTGGAGGAAATATATGCAGAGGAAGAGGAGCAAGAAAGACGTGAAATGCTGGAAAACGTTGCCGGTCAGCTAGATCTAAAGGCGGAACCCTATTTGCTATGACTCATACTGCTTGTGAGTCCTCTCGCGCGATAACAAACTTGAAACTTTCAGTCAGTGCTGCACGCATATCTTTGGCCGAGAAACTACATCATTTCCCTCGTTAGAATATCGTCGGATTGAAGACTTCTTTGGGCAAAGAATCCGATCACAGACATCTTTTCCATACTGGGGTTCGGAAAAGTCATATCGCATGACTACAATACCAATTCGTTTCCCTGTATCCCTAACGTACGACAAAGATAAAGTTGTTGTGCTTCATCGCTCCTTAGGTAAATTTCACTGATCGATTTGGGGTGTAAATGCGCGCTGATATCAGCGTTACAGCTATTCAAAGTTACAAAATCTATGCATCCTTGGCTACTTCCACATTTTCCACCTTTAACGCTTGAAAACCGCGAACACAATTCCGCCATTCTTGAAGGCAAACGGTGCGAATCTTCTCGATAAAAAGCTTATCCCTGTCGCAAAGTAAATATTTTGGACGTCTTGCGTAAAACATTTGCAAACTCAATGATTTCAAATTAGCCCAATTATTGAAACGCTAAGGGAAAAAAGCAGAGCACAGTAGGTATGGCTGTTTCTAGCTGTGCATTGCACTGTTTAGCTGTGTATAGCTGTGTATAGCTCTGTATAGCCCTCTATAGCTGTATATAGCCCTCTATATGCAGTTGATAGCTGTTTATAGCCCTGTATAGCTGTGTATAACCCTGCATAGCTGTTTACAGCTGTGTCTAGCTAACTGTGTATAGATACAATGAATATATGAAGTTCATATATTTTGAACTGCGGTTGTAGATACGTATGATGCAAGTTCCTCGCAGTAGAGAGCGCTATTTATGCAATAGCGAAAATCAGACCTTAAAAAAATCAGGCTTGTACGGGATTCGAACCACTCAGGTCAGTGGTTCGAATCCCGTACAGGTCTGAATTTTTTTCAGGTCTGATTTTCGCTATTGCAT